CCCCAAAACCCCAAAACCCCAAAACCCCAAAACCCCAAAACCCCTTATAATAATTATGCTAGAAATCACAATGTTGGAGAGAATATGGAAGCAGTTCATTGGATATTATTCCAGCTAATTTTCTTTTACAAAAGATAAATTAGTACTTATAAGTCTTCATTGATTTGAGTGCTTTGAATTTAGCTACTTCTTTTTCACCGAGGTTCTTCTCTGAGCCTACTCTTGTCATCTTTCTCTGAAGAAGTCTTGAAGATTTTCTCAAGTTTGTCAATCCCTTGATGGATCCGGATCTTTCGACAGATTTATCGTCAAGATTGAATACAAACATTCTTCTAGGAATGAGCTTGAGGAAGAACCCGAAGATGATAGATCCAAATCCAATAGCAATACAGTATCCGTGTTGTGCAAGAGTTAAATGAGAAGTTTTAACTGCTTCTCCTCCGACTTCTACAAGTCCAACCTGGACAATAATAGTAACAATTTCAATGAACAAGAAGAGCCAGTTGTTGAAGAACCCTTCGAACACATTAAATTCTCTGGCACCTAGTTTTCTTCAATTAATTTCATTAAAAACTTGCATCATGACAAATGTGTGGAAGATCAGTGTGAAGTGGACTCCATTCTGTTGGTTCCATTTTTCATCGATACCTCTCTTCTCAACTCCAAAAATCATGTCTCCAGCAAAGAGAAGGACACAGAGCACACAGATTTGGTAGATAGCTTGACCAATAACATTTCTCCACATTACAGAGTTCATGATATTGTCATCTCTTGAGTGAGGCTTATCTTCGAGAAGTTCAGGCTTAGGTGGTTCAGTTGCTAAGGCAAGGGCAGCGAATGTATCCATAATAAGATTGACCCACAAGAGTTGGACTGTTGTCAATGGACTCTCTCCCATCACAACTCCTCCAATAAAGGCAATGAAAATAGCAACAATGTTGATAGTGACTTGGAATTGCAAGAATTTTCTCACAGAAGCATAGATATTTCTTCCCCACATAATAGCGGTAATGATTGTTTTGAAATTATCGTCAAGCAGAATGATATCAGAGGCTTCCTTGGCTACTTCTGTTCCAGCAATACCCATAGCGAATCCAACGTCTGATTTCTTCAATGCTGGGGCATCATTAGTTCCATCTCCTGTGACAGCTACTACAGCTCCTTGATTTCTTAATCCTGTTACTAATAGATACTTGTCTTGAGGGGAAGATCTTGCAAGAACCTTCAACTGACTAATGATTTCAATAAATTTGTGCTCGTGTTTTACTTTTTCAGTAATCTTTCCTTTATCATCAGTTACTTCAATAAGTCCTCCTACTTCATTTCTGAAAGTCTCTCCATCAATAGCAGCATACTTAGATTTTGCTTCAGCTTCGGTCAAGATCCCTGCATTCTTAGCAATAGCTTTAGCTGTAGAGAGGTTATCTCCAGTGACCATTCTAACTGTAACTCCAGCTCTCTTGCAGCGACCAACAGCTTCTGGGATTCCATCTCTTAGAGGATCCTGAATACCCACAATAGATAGCAGAGTAAGTTCACTTTCAAGGAATTCTTCCATCTGGGTGTCATCTTCTGAATCAGCATCTTTATAGACCTTCTCATATTCTTCTTTTGAGATTTCTTTGAATGCAATAGTGAGAGTTCTGTAAGCTTGGTCTGCAAAATTAGCGATGACCTTGTCCTTAATCTCTTCAACCTTTCCCTCTTCAAGTTCTTCTGAAACTCCTCCCTCACCAACGTATTGGGTACAGAGTGCGAGAATGATCTCTGAGGCTCCCTTAGTAAGAACAATGTACTTATCAGTATCAAATGGAGAGTTGGTAACAGTAGTCATTCTCTTCCTAGAACTTGAGAATGGAATTCCATAGATCTCTTCATTCGTTGATCTGATCTCTTGGTAATCAGCTCCATATTTTCTAATAAAGTCAAGAAGTCCACATTCTGTCTGGTTTCCTTTTCTTACTTCCTTTCCGTCATTTTCTTCATCAATAAGCAACTGAGCTGTGGAGTTGAGGCCAACATTCAAAAAGAAGTTCTTCTTTACATCCTCAGTGCAGTGGTCGATTTTATCTTCAATTCTGTCCTCAGTGTAGCATTTGACTACACTCATTTTGTTTTGAGTCAAAGTCCCAGTCTTATCAGAGCAAATTTGGTCAGCTCCTCCCATGGTTTCTGAAGCATCTAGTCTTCTCACAAGGTTGTTGTCTTTCTTCATTTTCATTACTGAAAAGGCCAAACTGATTGTAACAGCTAATGGAAGTCCTTCAGGGACTGCAACGACAACAATAGTGATAGAGAGGATTACACAGTCTAAGAGCTTGTTTACTGTCTCAAGAGTCAAGTATTCATCACCATTCAGATATTTGGAAACAGATAAATTGATTGCTGAAGCAAAGAATGTGAAAATAGCAGCGTAGATACCAACCATTCCAATGAAGTCAGCAATGATCTCGAGCTTAGCTTGTAGAGGTGTGACCTCTGCTTCAGTGTTTAGCTTTTCTTCAGCTTGTCCTTGTTGAGTACATTTTCCGACAGCACATATAACTCCTACTCCCTTTCCACTCATAATAGTACTTTTTGCGAGAATGAATGGATCTGATTCTGGAGTAGCTTCATCTTCATCAGCAAGTCCGGTCTTCTCAAGGTGCTCAGGCTCTCCTGTGATATTAGATTCATCTGCAGTAATCTTTGTAGCTCTCAGCAATACAATATCTGCAGGAACACTATCTCCTTCGCTGATTTGGACAATGTCCCCCACCAGCAACTTGTAGATTGAGATATACTCGTGTTTTCCATTTCTAATCACAGTACAATAATTGTTTTCTCTAGCTTCCATAAGCTTTCTGAATTGCTTCTCCTTAACATAGTCATTACCAACTGTCACAGTGATAATAATTCCAACAGCTAGGTAGATTGTGATGCCTTCGATCCATCCTTTTTCAATACCCTCCTGCCAAATTCCAATACACAGTGAAACGAGGGCAGCAAGGATCAGGATTCTTAGGATTTTATCTTCAAGTTGTTCCATGATCATCTCTCAGATTCCTCTAGTTTTGATTACTCTCCTTTCATTGTTTCCGTACTTCTTCGCTCTTTTGTCAATAGCACCCGCAGTATCGTCGATTCCGTGATGTTCTCTGGAATCAAGAGCCTTTAATAGTCCTTCAGAATTACCAAGCTCTGCTAGCTTGTTTCTTCCATTGCTGATTACATCAGCGTCATCTGAAATTCTATTTTTTGTCTCAAAAAGGTTCATTAAAGTGGTTTTGTCCACCCCAAATTCCTTGGGTTCTGAACCAGCATCGAGAAGAGGCTCTTGAAGACTCATATTAAAATTATATAAAACTTCATGAAAATCTATATTTCAGCAGAGTTCACCCGAAGGGGTTTTGGGGTTTTGGGGTTTTGGGGTTTTGGGGTTTTGGGG